GGGTCATCTCGCTGACGGTCATGCGCGGGAACTCTTCACTCGACGGGCTACTCGGCGGCCTGGGGCGCGCTGGACGAGGGGGCGGCGCCGTGGCTCGCCGGCTGGGGCGGCAGCACGGTCACCTCGGCGGCCGGCGGGGCCGGCTTCTTGTGATACGCCGCGCCCCGGCGCCAGAGTTTCAGCGCCTCCCAGTGGATGCCGGCGATCACCTTCACGGTCATCAGCGGGCGGGTGAGCCAGGCGCGCAGCAGCGTGCCGTCGCGCAAGGGCCGGCGCTGCCCGGTCTGGGTGGCGACCAGCAGCGGCCCCGCGGCCACCTCCTCCAGAATCGCGACGAAGAGCGCGGCGTCCGGCTCGCGCAGCTTGAAGCGGTAGCGCGCCTGCATGCCGATGAAGGGGGAGACGTAGAAGCCCTTGTCGCAGGCCTGGCGGATCGCCTCGCCCGGGGCCGGCGCCGCGCCCAGGGGGATCAGGTAGCCGTGCTTCTGCCCGAAGGTGTTGCGCACCTCGTAGAGCAGCGAGTCGAGCGTCCCGTCGGGCCGGTGGCAGAACCAGATGGTCAGCGGGTTGAAGACATAGCCCAGGACCCGCGGAAAGCAGAGCAGGCGCACCGGACCGCCGCCGATGTCGCGCCCCGCCGCGCGGAGCTGCGCCTCGATCCAGGGGCGCAGCGCGGAGCCGTCGCGCGCGCCGTGGTCGCGGTCGTAGAAGCTGAAGAGGTTGAAGCGGTTGTGGCTGAACAGCCGGAGCCGGCGGTCGAGCCGCGGCAGCTCGTCCAGGTCCAACCAAAGCGAGAAGACGCGGTAGACGAAGCGCTGCGTGAAGGGGCGCAGCCGCTTGTGCATCACCTCGCCGAAGTAGAGCGCCGAGTCCATAGCGGGCAAAGCCTACTCCGCCGCCGCGGCTGGCTCCAGCACCACGCGCTGGGCCGACGGCGGCACGATTCCCGCGGCCGGGCTGACCGGCGTGATCTGCTCCGCCCAGGGCGCCGGGCAGCCCAGCGCCGCGGCGACGGCGAGGCCGGCCTGCAGCGCGTCCTCGTGGAAGCCGTAGCCGCAGTAGCTGCCGCAGAACCAGGTGCGGTTGACGCCCTGGAGGGCCGGCAGCCGCTGCTGTGCCGCCACCGCCGCCGCGTCGAAGACGGGGTGGTCGTAGACGATCTCGGCCTCGACCAGCTCGTCGCGCGGCGCGTCGAT